GCGGCCACTGCACTCCAGTGTGGGCGACAGAGTGAGACTCCAACTCAAAAAAAAAAAAAAAAATCTGTATTATTAACTCCTAGGAGAGATAACTTGAAGCTCGGGGAGGTTATGTGAAGTTGCCCAGGATCACCCAGCTGGTAAGCAAAGGAACTAGTATAAGAATCTTCCTTTTTATCTCTGGTCGGGCGCTCCAGGCAAGTCCCAGTGCTGTAGCCCTAAGAAAAACCACATGGGACTTGGGACTCCCTCTCTGCTCTGTCTTCAATTCTTTAGAAAATCATAGCTCTATAGAGTCATCTATCCTAAAGCCTGACTAGAAGTACACTATGTAGGGATTAAGCACAGAGGCTCTGTTTCTTCCTAGGTTTGTGAGTTTGGGCCACTTTAGCTTTCCAAGTCTCAGTCTCCTCATCGGTGAAGTGGGCATAATAATAACACCCACTCTATGGTGTTTTGAGAGGATTAATTGAATTAATAGATGTCTGCCGTTTAAAACAGAACACGAAATGTTTTCTCTCTATATTATTTTATAACAAGGTTAGAACAATCCTTCTCAAAAAGTCTCCAGGAAACTGATTCCTGAACCACTCTGGGCAAGGTATTCCAGTTATTCATGATTTTGGAACTTTTTTTTGAGTTAGGGTCTTGCTCTGTCAACCATACTGGAGTGCAGTGGCACAATCATGGCTCACCGTAGGCTCGACCTATGAAGGCTCAGAAGATCCTTCTTCCTCACCTTCCCAAGTAGCTGGGACTACAGGTGTGTGCCACCACGCCTGGCTAACTTTTTGATTTTTTTATAGAGATGAGATCTCACTATTTTGCCCAGGCTGGTCTTGAACTCCTGGGCAACATAATGAGACCTCGTCTCTACAAAAAAATAGTGAGGCAATCTTCTCGTCTCAGATTTCCAAAGTGCTGGGATTATAGGCGTGAACCACCCACCGGACTGCAAAATTATATCAAGTTGTATTAAAAGAAAAAAAACCACAATGCAGTCTTACCAGGACTGCTGCATAACATCACTCGGCAGTAGAAAGCGGCACATATTCGCCGTCTGGTTGTTATTTTTGGTAAAAGGCACCAAGTTGCTGTAAATGGGGTACGGAGTCATGATGGTGAAGGAAAGGCACCAAGTAGCAGCAATCACCTTCAAAGCATGGGATTTCGTTTGCCAGACCCGAGACTGCAAAGGTTTGCAAATCGCACCGTATCTCTCCAGAGATATGGCTACCAGATTAAAGGTAGATACACTCACAGAAGTGCCTGGAAAGGAACAAAGAAACGGGTTGTGTTGGCTCTGAAATCCACAGTTCATTTGCACATTAGTTCAAGTCTATCTAATCTGCACAGGTTTGATATCAAAGGAAAATACTCAGAGGGTAAAGAAAAATTGTGTTATGTGTATTTTTAAAAGATGATTTATTCCCTTCTTTGTTCCAAAAAAAATTTAAGTCAGTTAAAGAAGTGCATCTGCAAATACAGCTCATTGCCAATTTCAAGTAAGTTTACTGAGCTTTGATTACAACCTGACTCCTGCTTAGGCTGGAAGTGCTCATTAATTAATAACCAAGGGGATGAAATAGGTTCTGACCACACAGAAGAGGTTCTGAAACCTGAAGAAAAGCTCTCATTTTGAGCATGATCTGCAAAGTGAAACGGACTTTCAAAATTCCAGATTCTCAGGGACTCTCTGACTCTGAAAGGTTACTGGGATGTGAGCTGGAGGCATTACGACATTTTCTGAAAATTTCTAGCACACATTGTTCTTAAGCATGAAACACTCTAAATATCAAAATGTAGTTTGTTGGAAGCAATAAAAGAAAATAAAATAAGATGGAGGGAAAATCTCCACATTGTAGCTAAAGGCTTCTCTGGGTGGGAGGACGAGGGCCTTCCTTCTCTCATTCTTTTTGCTTTTCTGTATTTTGTAGAATGAACATGCATCATCAATAAAGTGAAAAAGACATCAAGATATACCTTATAACTGGGCTCGGTGGCTCAGCCTGTAATCCCACGCCTTTGGGAGGCTGAGGTGAATGGATTG